GATTTGCTGTAAAGCCTAGTTGATAGCTATATAATTCCTAGTGTAATGCCTGGCTCACAGTAATAACTGGATGCCATCATTATTATTATTTATTAATAAGATTAAAGTTATTTCTTTTTCTTTGGCAAAACTCGAAGGAGCAGAGTCAAGCTTTCCCTGAGATGAGGACTATCTTCTGGGCAAGGTGCTGAGGTCATTTTGGGGTGGAACCAGCTGACTGAAATCAGCTTTATAAGGACCCTTACCTTACTTAGTAGAATGGCCAATAAATAGCCAATATCCAAAGGCTGTGTCCCTCTGTCCTTAGTTTAGAAGATTTTTCCGGCTTATTGCTAATGCATACTAGCTATTTTTAACACTTGGAGAGCAAACTGTTGATTTCTTTATAGTGAAACCAAATCCCTTGGCTGCATTTCACTCCTGAGCAGCAATCACACCAGCAAACTGCAAAATTAGCATCTAATAGCTCATTTCAATGAAAAACCAGAAGAACATTCTTTGGGCACCACAGGTTTTTGCCTCCAAAGATAGCACTTCTTTTTTTATTTCCTGAGTATGTGAAATTGCCCTAATTCTGACTTACTTAGTGGGATATGCATTTGGCTTCCTGGTTTCAATTTTGTGGCCAAAATGATCAGTTGTTGCTCTTTTCTGAAGGCTGTATAAATTAGTTTTACTTGAAGTCTGTTGATCTATTAGTCCAGCACGATCAATACGCGAGGCTTAAAACTAAATCCCGGGGGATGATTTAGAGCATCCTCTATGACATACATCCCAGCATCAAGACCCTGGTCTTCAGTGCTCTCCCAGGCCCTTCCATTGCTTTGCCACAATTTGGCTCAACATCCCAGTTAAGCAAATTCAGCATGCTAGTCAATGGTGGCTGAGATTTTGTTAGGGCCAAACCAAATCAAACAAAAAACACCTGTTTGCTAGGAGGTCCATTTGAAGAGTGATAACCAGAAAAAATGGCCAAAATGAATCTCATGGTCTGTTAAGTAGGCGTTTTCTGTACCACAGAGATTTCAGTCAACTACTCCTAGGTGTTTCAAGTTTCTCAATTGTCTAGAGGAAGCTCTATGCCAGCGCTCTCCAACAGAAGCATAATGTGAACCACTAACATGAAACATATATGTAATTTTAAGTTTTTTAGTAGTCACATTGAAATAAAAGTAAGAAGACCCAGGTAAAATGAATTTCAGTAGTATATTTTACTTAACCCCCAAATATATCCAAAATACCATCATTCCAACATACGCTCAATAACAAAAATTAATGAGATATTTTTACGTTCTTTCTTTGTATGAGATCCTTACAATCTGTGGTGTATTTTACACTTACAGCACATCTCAGTTCAGACGGGCCACATTCCAGGTGTTCAATAGGCACATGTGGACGGTGGCTAACATATCTGACAGCTATACCATAAGGCCTATCATTTCATGTGCTGCCTTAACATCCTGAGGCCTCATGGGGGCCCCCACGTTCTAACTGTGAGTTCCCCTGCTCTTGCCACCCAGTGGGAAAGGCTCCCTACCCAGCTAGTTTCCCTAGCAGCCAGACCAGCTGTGTTCCACCTGGTCCTCAACCGAATGAGCTTCACCTCTCTGCAAGCCTGTGGAATTATTCAAACAAGCCAATCACATCCTCCTCTGGAAACCGGAAGTCACCTAACCCTCTTGTTACTACAAAGCTAGCATCCCACGGCCCCTGCTGCTTCCCTTTGCTCCCTGATGCCATCTCTATGTGGCTCTGCATGGCGTGTGGTGTCTCTCTACCCCCAGCTGTGAGTATATGGGAATAATAAACGGCTGTCAATCTCCTGTTCTGTCCAGTGGCGTGTATTCAGCTCTCCTTAGAACCTTAGGGCAGGGCTCTCTCCTGCACCCATGAGGTGAAGAGGAGGTGAGCAAAACAACAGCATGAGTCTATACTTTTTAAGAGAGCTTTAGAGTCAATTTTTCAAAAATATCTAGAGGAATCTGGACTCGTCTCTTAGCTTTCCTACATTTACATTGTTGGAAAAACCTTAGTTGTAACTTTGGAATACATTTTCTTATTTTGTTAATATTTTTGGTATTTCATGGTGCTAATCTTTTAGCTCAGCTTTGTAGCTGGTCATGCTTGGTTCTGTATTATTTTGTTGCATGTTCTGATCTTTAGCATTCGTGCTGAAGGGGACTGATAAAATCATCGTTAGACAATAACATGAATTTACTTCAAAGATAAAGGTCTACTCCATGGCGAAACACTCATTTAGTCTGAAAAGGATGACAGATTCCTGGCAAGAATACTGCCCCAGCTCTTCCCGCGCCTGTGGCAAGATCACTAAGCCAGCTGTCCACCTCAGAATCCTCTTGACGTCGGAGATGAAATCTCTGATCTAGAAACCCTGAGCTATCCTTGAGCCTTCTTCATGATCCCTAATCTATATACAGCAATCAATGGGCTGCCGCCCCTTCCCTCAACATACTACTTCCAAAGCATCTTTTGAATATATATCCTTCTTCATGCACATCACACACGCTTTCATCCAGGTCTCCAGTGTGTCTAAGGGGAGCCATCAGGCTGTGTTCCAATGGGTTTCCCTGTCTCCAGGCCCTCTACCTTCCCTCCATCCTCCAATCTGCAGCCCAGGTGGTCCAAAACTCAGAGTTCATTTATAACTTTTTGTCTTAAATACCTCCAACTTCTCTTCACTGCTTCCAGGTAACAACCCAAATCCCTTAACCTGATAATCAAGACTTTTAAAAATCAGGCCCCAGTCTATCTTTTCATTTGTTTTTTTTTTAAGATTTTATTTATTTATTTATTTAGAGAGAGAGTGAGCATGAGCAGGGGGATGGGCAGAGGAAGAGAGGCAAGTAGGCTCCCTGCTAAGCGGGGAGCCTGATGCAGGGCTGGATCCCAGGACCCCAAGATTGTGACCTGAGCCAAAGTCAGACACTTAATCGACTGAGCCACCCACGTGCCCCTACCTTTTCATTTTAACCTTCAGCCACCATTTCTCATTTATCCCTACTCCAAATTATTTCCAGAAAAACCCAGCACCTTCATGCTATGGAATCTTTATGGAAGCTGCTCTCCACTTGGCTTGGCTTGTCCCTAATTCCTACCTTAAAAAAAAAAAAAAGAGAGAGAGAGATTGGAGTGAACGTTTTAAAGGAAAACCACACATGGCAGTTCAGGACACTGCCTTGTAGAACACAAGTTCTCCTTCTTAAGTCAAGCACAGACTACTCTGTCAACCATGCTAGACACGACAGACAGCCTTGAGTCATCGGCTGCCCCCAACAGATTTATTTGTGTGATTTGCTTTATCAGAAGTAGCTGTAAAGAAAGTGTATCTATAAACACATAATAAAATAAAAATTGTATTTCACTTCATTATAGTTTATCAAGGCTCAGCTTTGTGAGGACGGCTCCTAGAGCAGAACAGGGTGAAGAACACCATCACTGCCTTCATTGAGAAGGAGCCGCAAATCCTGGCTCTATCAATTAGCTCAGGTGTTTAGCTTCCCCGGCCTGTTTTCTACCTATAAAATGCAGATAATAAGTTACCTACCTCCTAGAGGAGAAAATCTACATTATGTACTTACACAGCACATAAAAATAGTACTAGTAGTAGGACTATCACAGGCTTATTTTCAATTCTTACATTTATCATAGTAATTAATCTTAGAGAGAAAACTCTCTCTGATGGGAAAAACACTTCAGTTAAAGCCTGCTGTAGAATAAGGGACCCCAAAGGTTTTTTTTGTTTGTGTGTTTGGAGGGGTTGCTTGTTTTTTTTGTTTTTGTTTTTTTGTTTTGTTTTTGTTTTTTATATCCCACGAATACACTATTTACACCAACCCTGCTGGTAATGAGAACCAGAGGGGAGCGATATCTTGGTATCTCCAGTGCCTGGCACTGAATGAAAGCAGCAGGCTCCCCTAGCCATGGGCAGGTGACAAAACTTCTCTTAGAGTTTCATCACCCTTATCAGTTATTTACCCACATCTTTCAGCCTGGAGAAATTTCAGATTTTTTCCCAAAACACTGGTGCTTTGAACAAAAGATGCAGGCGTGTAGGAAGACGAAGCTTGCCAGGGAGGAAGGGGGACACGGAGGAGAGAATGTGCCCAAACTAGATTTCTCCCACTTCGCTACCACCCGAGGCCAGTGCCAAGAAATTATCATCTTAACTGGCAAGGAGGAAGGAATTGAATATTTATGGAGTGTCTACCTCACACGGGTGCTTTGCTGGGTGAATTATATAATAATAAAAACATTAGCTATCTTTTGCCATGCCTTATACTAATTGCCTTACATTTTTTTCAGTTTATTCTCATGACAATGTTGTCAGCTTTTAGGTAGGTAGCTCCGTTTTACAGAGGAGGAGTTAGAAGCTCAGAGAGGCTAAGTAATTTGTCCAAGGTCACACAGTGAGTTACTTTAATTCCACCTAGAACTAGACGCTGGATCTGCCTGACTGCAGTATATCTGTATTCTCAGTTCCATGTACCACAGTAACTCTCAACAGGCAAAGACCTCCAGGGGAAAGACTACCATTTCCTATTAATGCCCAGCTCTAGGAGAACCCCTCACTCATAGTAGGCGCTCAGGAAATGTTTATAGAATAAATAAAAGTAGAGAAAAGACTGGAGCAAAGTAGGCATGGAGTGTTACTATATTGCCAAGAAGCAAGTGCAGGAAATAAGAGAAGAGACAAGAGGGTGTCCTTCATAATTCACAGTGACACCCTGTAACATGGTTATGCTATTCTTGGTCAGCTACATTTAATGATGCCCATAGTCAGAAAGAAAGTCCGCCACCGTGACCATCATTTTGCAAGCCTGGTTGGACTCTTCGTACCTGCTGATTTCCATTACATGCCGTTTAGAAAAATAATTGTGTGACCCTGCCCCGTTGTCATTAAATATAAATCGTTCGTTTGGCTGCTAAAATATTAACACTCAAGGAGTGCAGAGAGACCAACAATTTTTTTTTTTTTCCAGATGCTTTCAACCGAAGGCAGAAGATACTAGACGGCTTCCCATTGCAATGGACCACATGTGCGTGGCTTGCTCTGCTGGAGGCGCTGTGTGGCCCAAGTCACAGAGCCATCAGTCACGGATTATGGCTGCAAGGGGTGTCTGCACTTAATCTCATTTTTGAATGAATTAATATTATTAGTTTTGACAAATTAATGGTATTAGATGTGCAAGGTGAGTATGAATTATGTCCACATCCACCTATTACTAAATGTGCCTCATTCTTGCGTGAGAAAGCTTATTGAATCAATTCAGTGGAATCCCCTCCCGTTTCCATGTTTGAAAATGCCTTCTTAGAAGCCTTAAAGAGATGGGCTTGTATACCTATGGACACGTGTTTAATGATATAAATCTGTACTTCAGTCCAGGCTGAAAGGGGCTACATAATTGAGTCAGTCAACAGAGGAAGATATGACTTTGTGGTGACTTATATATACATCCTTACAAATGTAATTCTAAGTATACTCCACCTGAGAGAATCCTATCTTTTAGAAAAACTTTGAGCCTCCCTGCCTGCCCTTCCCCATTCTGATAAAATAATCTGTGCTAAGGTATACCCATTTCTTTAGTATTAAAAAAGAAAAAGAAAAAAACAGTCATATGCTTCTGTGTATCTTTTTCAGTTTGAAACCATTATTTCCCCCTAACTTAAGTCTAGAAGAAATGTATGCTCGGGATGCCTGAGCAGCTCAGTCTGTTAAACGGCTGCCTTCGGCTCAGGTCATGATCCCAGGGTCCTGGGATCGAGCCCTGCATCGGGCTCCCTGCTCAGCGGGGAGCCTACTTCTCCCTCTCCCTTGGTCTCCCAGCATGTGCTCTCACTCTGTCAAATAGATAAATAAAATCTTAAAAAAAAAAAAAAAAGAAAGAAATGTATGCTATTAGAGTCCTAGGTCAGCAAAACTAAACATGATGTGTGTGGTTGAAGATCTCGGATAGATGATGATCAAGTGTGAATGAGCCTGAATGATTTTCTTAATTGATGGTTTTTCATGATTAATTTAAGGAGTCTATAATGTCAGATGCTGTGAACCTGTTCATTTTTTTAACCTGGATATTGTCACAGCAATTGTCACATTTAGTCCCTGTTTTAAAAACTCAGATTTTGTTCAGATAATAGGCAGAGATGCCTTGATTTCAGGAAAGGTCGACTCCCCCCCCCCCCACCATCTATGGTAATCCCGTTATCCTTCGTGATGATTAGTGATCTGGTTCTGGCCACTGAGATGTAAGCAGAATAAAGCTTTTGAACCCAGGTTCAATACCTGGTACTCAATAACTACTTATTGCGCCAATGAGATATATTCAATCTATATGTTCTCAATGTGTAACAAAAATATTCTGTACACCCACACCTTTAGTAAGTCTTACAGACTTTCTCGGAAAATGTACATATATGTACTCAAGTAACCATATCATTCCCTTCCTGGATTCCTCCTGCATCGTCTCACTTAAAATCTCCACCATTTTCCACTTTATTAAAGCCTTTTGCCAACATTCTATAGAAATGCTGTCTCATAGAAATATAATGTAAACCACATACATAGTTTTAAATTCACTGGTAGCTACATTTGAAAAGTCAAAAGAAACATGAAATTAATGTTAATGACATGTTGAACCCCAAATATCCAGTATTATTTTGACACAAAATAAATATAAAAAATTATTGAGATATTTTACCTACTTTTTTTCATTTTAAGTCTTTGTCTCAGTATGTATTTTATACTGTAGCTCATCTCAATTCAGAATGACTTTCTCTTTCCCAATCTAACTTCTCATCCAACTATTGACCTAGTTAATTCCATATCATGCTCAATGTTTTGAAATGCTTTCTTCTCCAATTTATCAAATTTTCATTCATTTTATATCTTTCATTTTGATGAGTATTTGTTACTTAGTGCCTACTATAAAAAACAAAATATTTCCTGCCTTTGAGCTGCTTACATGTCTGGTGAAGGGAGCTCTGCTCAGAGCTAAGGACTCCTTCTTTGCTATTCCCACTGTGTTTTTGGGGGGTTTTTTTGTTTTAAGATTTTATTTATTTGACAGACACAGCGAGAGAGAGGGAACACAAGCAGGGGGAGCGGGAGAGGGAGAAGCAGGCTTCCCGCTGAGCAAGGAGTCCGACGCGGGGCTTGATCCCAGGACCCTGGGATCATGACCTGAGCCAAAGGCAGATCCTAATGACTAAACCACCCAGGTGCCCCCGCACTGTGTTTTATATGCACCTCCCTTATAGCAGTTGTTAGGCTTCCTGCACCTAGGGAAGGGCTAAAGAGACAGAAAACGGTGTCCGCTTACAGAAGTGGTTTTGTCTGTGTATTAGTGATAAATAGGATTGTATATCATAGGAATTTGAATTGGAAGAGACCTCAGAAAGTTCAATGCTTAACTTTATGTGACAACTTGACTGGGCCACAGGGTACCCAGATACTTGGTCAAACATTACTGTGGGTGCTCCTGTGAGGGAATTTTTGGATGAGATTAACATTTAAATTGGGAGGTTGAGTAAACCAGATTGCTCCCCATATTGTGGGTGGGCCTCATCTAATCAGTTGAAGGCCTGCATGAAACAAAAGGCTGACCCTCCCCTGAGCAAGAGAGAATTCATCCTGCCTGAACACTTTTGATGGGGACATCAGCTTTTTTTCTGCCTCAGACTTGAACTAAAACATTAGCTCTTCCTGGGTCTCAAGCCTGATGGTCTTCAGAATGGAACCACACCATCTGCTCTCCAACTCACTGACTCACCCTGCAGATCTTGGGACTGGCCAGCCTCCATAATCATGTAAGCCAGTCCTCTATAATAAATTTATTTGTGTGTACACACACACACACCCCTCCTATTGGTTCTTTTCCTCTGGGGAACCCTGACTAATACAGAAAGCTTTTCATCCAACCTCTTCATTTTAGAGTTGAATCAACAAAGGACCAGAGAGTTTAGTGACTGCTTAAGGTCACACAGGAAGTTGGGAATGGATCAGGACCAGAAATAAGTCCTTGAATTCCTATGTTAGTGCTCTTGCACACTGTACCACACGCACAGTACCAGTAGTAAGAAGTTTGAAGAGATGACAGCCATAGCTTTTCAGTAAGGATGGAAAAAGCTGTCTGGGGTTTTGGCTCTGCCTGCAGATCTGGGTCGATGATTTCATGAATAAGCAAATTGAGATTTGAGGTTTCTGTTTGGCACATTTCTTGCTACAGTGCATTCCAACCCAGAAGTATCAGAACCTTGAGAAGCTAGGGGTCACGCTCAGCTAGAGTGAGCTGGAGGTCCCAGAACACAGCCACCGAGACAGCCTCTTGTTGCCAAGATGGAATGAGAACAGCAGTAGTCAGTATTTACTGAGTGCAATGGGCCGGGCACTCTTCTAAATCTTCTCTTGAGTTAGCTCACATAATCCAACAGGAACTCTATGAAGAGTTGCTGTCATTATCATACCCTTTCTGCACACGGTGATACTGAGGTAGAGGGAGGTTAGAAAGTGGAGGGTCCGGGATCCAGCTCAGGTGTCCAGCTCCAGATCGGTGCCCTTAACACCATACCACCCCTCACGTGTAGAAGCCTGAACATTTCCTCTGGAAACTCATACAGTCGTAGGTTCTATTCAAGTATATGTGCCGAGAAATCTTCTGACCTCCTAATACTGCTTCCTGAATGAGGGCGAGGAAATCTGTGTTAGTCCTAGCTCTGTCACTAATTAGCCTCCCGCCTTTGGCAAGTCACACCCTCGCTTCTAGGCATCCATTTCCTCATATACGAATTATGTTGCTGGGTGAATTCTGACAATCACATCTACCTATGAAGTTCTAGGATCCTAATCGCTCTGAGGTTATACTTGGAGACTATCATTATATAGATTCTTATTGTAATCTTTTTAGTTATACTCAGGAAATACCTTTAATAATATATAGATGACTTGCTAATTTGCAAGTAAAAATCTTCAGAGGGTACATGTCTTATCTTTTGAATGATATTTTAACACCATGCACCTTCTAGTATTTTCAAATGGGATCAGGAAAGAAAAAGGATTTCTGAAGGAATTTTTTTTTAGGACACAAGGCTGAGATGTGCATTAAGGTAAATGTTCTAAATATACATGGACATGTCATGAATGGGGAAATGCACAACAGTTTCATTAATAGAGAGTCCCTTGTGCATAGTTTGCATTAGCCATTGTCCAGCAAAAGAACATGGTCTAGGAAGAGTTGAGACCGGGAATCCAGCTCTAGGTCTGGCACCACCTACACCTGTGATCTTGGTTGTCTCCTTGCTTCCAGATCTCAGTATTTAAAGGGAGCTGTTTAGTTCAACTAATTTCCTTGTGGGTACAGTGGTGAAGACATGGGCGAGGCCTCCCCGGAGGGCTCAGTTCTGGGGCCATGCTCCTAGTGTGGACCACCTAAGGCAACTGCACCCGAAAGGAAGTCTCACTCTTGGCATCTCTCACAGGCTCCATTGGATATATGGTTAAAGGTGGGAGTTTCAAAGTTGTGTCAAAATAATTTGAGAAAAGAACAGAAGGATGAGTGCCCCTTTCCTTCTCCCCGGCTCAGAGCATGGGATCCAGAAGCTGCCCCACGTGTCACACCCAGTAGGTAGACTCTAAAGGACCACCCTCCAAAGCTCATGTCTTCCTCAGAGTGTAATAGAAGGCTATTGTCTCTGTGACTAGTTACCTTAGAAGCAGGGCTCTCAGAAATAATTCTCAATTTTCACTAAATCCTTGCACAGCCCCTATTACACGTGTATTTTGATTCACTTGGCCCTTTGGTGAGGAGGCCACTTTAGATTCCATCTGGTCCTTTCCCAGAAATTTACTTTAATTCGGTTCTGTTCGTTCAATATAATCCACCTCTGGGTGTGCCTTCTGAGGGAGGAGAGGTCTGGCCCCAGCTCTCCCACTCTGTTCTAGACCTGTGATCTTAGACAAGCCCCATTCCCTGTAATCTGTCCTAGCACTTCCCAGTAATGCTCTATCCCAATTCCTAAGCTAATCTTACCGTGTTTCTGTGATTGGAGAACTAGTTGGTTAACTGCTCTATAACACAATTCTACAGGTAAAGAGACAACCATTCCTGTCTGTGGCCTCTGTGTGTGTGTGTGTTTCCCAAAACTTCTTCCAGACTTGAGTTTTGTAATCCTTAACCACCTTTTTGGTTCTTCTCTGGAGACTCCTGAGAGTTCTTTTTGTACCAGTATGTTTGGTATCATACCTACCAACCCTCAAGCAAGCACT